CCTGGCAGGATGCGCGCTCCCGGTTGCCGACCCCGTCGGCCCTGGGCCTCAGCATGGTTCTCCAGGCACTGGCAGTCTGTGCTCTGACCCGGTTACCCCTGTCCTTCCCCTTGACGAACAAGCCTGCATTATTCCAGCCCAGAGCCCCCCGTTCCATTTGTGAAGTCCAACCTGGAAGCTGAGCCAGCAGCCCCACCACGGCCTGCTCTCCCACAGAGGCCCCAGGCGACCCACTGGCCTTGAAATGCCTGAGCTGCAGGGCTGGGTAGTGGCTTGGCTGCCTAGCTGACCCCAGACGCTTAGGACCAGAATTTGGGGAGGTCCTGGGAGCTGGCTGGACTCTGAGAGTGCAGGGCTGGGCCTTGGAGGGCCACTGAGACCAATCCCGCCCTCCACGGATGTGGAAACGGAGGCCTGTGGTTTGGATAGGTATGCTAGCTGTTTTTTATTGTCTGTTTTCTGACACTTTGACACCTGGGTCCCACTGAGCCTGGAGGGGCTGCCCCTCCCAGCGCTAGTCAGTTCCTAGAGACAGTAGAAGATGCCAGTGAGCACACCCGGGGGGGGGGGACAGACAAGTAGGGGCAGCCCCTCCACCCAGAGATGCTGATTCCTCCCACCTGCTAGTCCTGCCTCCCTGTTGCTCCCCATGGAAACCACAGGAGAGGCTCTTGCCACTGTTTCACCTCCCCTGCCTCCTGACCCGCGAGGACCCTGCTGATGCCCCTCCAAGGACAATGCCCCATCTGCACGGATGCTTCTCAGCCCAGCCAGGGCCCAGTGGTCCAAGTGAGCCTACTTTGTGCGAGGCCAGGCTGCCACTGATTTCAAGACTTCAGAAGGACATCTCGGATGCGAAGGGACACATCACAGGAAGGTCCATATATTTTTCCTTCTAAGCCATGACTCAGGAGTAAAAGCAAAATAACATTGTGTTCAGATCCAAGAGACTCAGAGAGTTTGCCGCTCTCAGGCTGTCACTGAGAGTGAGGACGGGTGGTTTGAAGGAAGAAGTGAATGAATCCGAGAAGGAACGAGTGGAGAGTGAGACATGAGGGTGGGAAATGGGTGAGTGCAGGTCTGTCTGACAGTCATGACTGTGTAAATCAAGCATCGGGGGTTAGTAAGAACAATTATCATGACTAATGAGAAGGCAAAAACCTCTGTGGTTCAGTGTTGTGTCCTGGCCATCACCGGCCACCCTACCAGGGCTCAGGAAGCCTGAGCTGAGGTAGAAAGGGCAGAAAAAGTCTATACACTAGTCATTCCTATCCATCTGTGTAAGAAGAATTGCACACCATGAGCAAGTGGGAATGATTCCTGGAATGCAGGATGGCTTCACCCTAGCAAAA